TTATTATTATTATTATTATTATTATATGCACCCAACCACCACCCCTTGCACCCACCAAGCTTGATGGCACCTGGTTAAATTTCAACCCAGCCTGTCCCTGGACTCTGGGATGGCTCCAGCTTTGCCCCAGTGATGCTCAGTTAATATTTCACACTGAAAACACCAGGTTTGCTGGGTGCCAAGAGCAAAGGTCCCTCTGGGACCAAAACACCTTTGCACGGCACAAACCACAGCGTCAACCCCCAACCCCACCCTGGTGCCAGGGTGGCACGATGTCACCTGCTCTGCTTTGTCCCCTGGACCAAAAGCCCCTTGGAAATGTGCTTTGTCTTGGTTTCTCCCTCAAAACCTGCGAGGCACCCATGGGTGCTGGCAGCAGGGATGTAGGTCTGCAGGGAGGATGTGGTGGGACTCTGGTTGTGCCCAAGGGTGAGGATTAAGGGACAGCATCTCCCTGTTCCCAGACAGGGTCCAACTCTGCTCCTGTCCTCCCATCCTCCAGACGTTCGTTTGGGAAAGGAAGCAATTAACTGAGGAAAGAGGAATATAAAAAAAAAGCCTGTGGAGATAGAGAAATAAAGAATAAAAACTGCCTGTAATTAAATATCAAGGGGTTTATTTTCAAATGGAGAAAAAGACCAAAAAAGAAGTAAAATCTCCAACTACAGGAAGGCTGGGGAGGGACTTTGGCCAAGGGCAGGGAGTGAGAGAACAAGGGGGGATGGCTTGAAAGTGGCAGAGGGGAGATGGAGCTGAGATGTGAGGAAGAAATTGTTTGGTGTGAGGATGGTGAGACAGTGTCCCAGGTTGGGCAGAGAAGCTGTGGCTGCTCCTCCCTGGAAGTGTTTGTGGCCAGGCTGGATGAGGCTTTGAGCAACCTGGTCTAGTGGAAGGTGTCCCTGCTGCTGGCAGGGGGGTTGGAACTGGATGAGCTTGAAGGTCCCTTCCCACCCAAACCAGTCTGGGATTCTGGGATTCTTTGACTTCTGCCTGGCCTGAGACATTGCTCCAGGGTCTCTCAAGACACCCAGAACTAGATGATCTTTAAGGTCCCTTCCAACCTTAACCATTCTATGAATCTATGACTCAAAGAGCTTCAGCAAAGCATTCCTGCCTCAGTTTCCCCACTGTTGCTCAGCTTCAATTAACCAAGTTGTGACATCCCTCTCAGACACAACCAAGAGTTGATGGAGCCAGGCAGTGGAGGAGAGTTGTGTCCCTCCTCACCTGCATCCCCCTCACCCCACACTGTTAATAAATAATCCCTTTGGGGGATTGTCTTGGAGTAGTTTGGTGACCTTTGCACATCACTTGGACCTGGAGCTGTTGGCTGGGCAGCCACGGAGGTGTCTGACCCCAATCAACTGGCCCCCTTGGCGTCTGTCTGGGCTCGAAGGTGTGTCACAGGGTTATTGATTAATTTCCAGCCAGGAAAACATCAGCAGGGTTTCAGGATGGTCAGGAGGTCAAGGAGCTTTGAAGGTAGATGTGAAGACCAGCAGGGAAAAAAACTGCTGGAGGTGCTGTGAGGTCCTTCACAGGCTGCACAGCTCCTGCTCTGTAATTCATGGGAAATTTTCCCTCCAGTTCGTGGTTGTGCTGCCAAGGTTGGGTCTCCAAGAGCATCCCATGGTCATGGGAAGGCAGCTACCTGCAGCAGTGGTTCCTTGCCCACTTGGGGGTTGGAGAATGACAGAACTGCCTGGGTTGGAAAAGCCCTTGAAGCTCCTGGAGTCCAACCATGAACCCAACACTGACAAGTCCCCTATGACTAACCCATGTCCCTCAGCACTGTGTCTACACGACTCTTCAATCCCTCCAGGGATGGGGACTCCACCACTGCCCTGGGCAACCCCTTCCAATGCCTCAGAACCCTTTCAGCAAAGAAATTCTTCCTCACATCCCATCTCAACTGCCCTGGCCACAACTTCAGCCCATTTCCTCTTGTCCTGTCCCTTGGGCCTTGGTTGAACAGACCCACCCCCACCTCTCTCCACCCTCCTCCAAGGGACTTGCACAGAGCCACAAGGTCTCCCCTCAGCCTCCTTTGCTCCAGGCTCAACACCCCCAGTTCCCTCAGCCACAAGGGAACTCAGCACACTTGTGCTCCAGACCCTTCCCCAGCTCCGTTCCCTTCTCTGGACACGCTCCAGCACCTCCATGTCCTTCTTGGACTCAGGGGCCCAACACTGAACCCAGCACTCCAGCTGCAGCCTCACCAGTGAGAAGTGCTCCCAGAGGTCACCTTGCCTGAGTTAGCTGCCTCAGAAAAATCATTATCATCCCTTCCTTAATGAGGGACCAGGGAGCGTTTTCTTATCACCAAAGCGCAGCCACCAGCGTTGCAGAGCTCCTGCAAATCTCTCCATGTCCTTCAGATGAGACCCATCACCCAGCCAGATCCCACCCCCTGCTCTGCTCTGGGTGGGATGGTAGAGTGAGTGCTTCATCGTGAGGGTGGTGAGCCAGTGTCCCAGGTTGTCCAGAGAAGCTGTGGCTGCTCCTCCCTGGAAGTGTTGAAGGCCAGGCTGGATGAGGCTTTGAGCAACCTGGTCTAGTGGAAGGTGTCCCTGCTGCTGGCAGGGGGGTTGGGACTGGATGAGCTTGAAGGTCCCTTCCAACCCAAACCAGTCTGGGATTCTGGCATTCTATGAGTTTGGGGTGCACGGTGTGGAGCATCCCCCTCCCTGCTCAGCTGGGAACAGCACCCATGTCACTCTACCTGAACCCCCCCAGCACCCACTGCCGTGTCCCCCCAAACCTACCAGGGTCTGTTCCCTATTCCCATTGCAAAGACAGCAAATTCAGAGGACCCCTCCGGGGTGAGGACCCCCAAAAGGGATGTAGCTTCTCCCCAAAACCCTCTGAAGCATCTTCTTCCCAAAGCCATGAGATTTTGCATCATCCCTGGAGGAAGTGGGACCCCAGTTCCAAATCCATGCCCGGATCCTGCTCTACCAGCTGGGAGGGAAGGGCTCAGCCCCTCTCCTCCCCCAAGGAATCAGGCAAATCCCAAGGGGAGACCTGTTACTCATTATCCTTCCAGCCTGGAGAGAAGCTCCTTGTTGACCTACAAGGCAAGAACAAGCTCTACCAGCTTTGGTGGGGCCAGGATCACCTCTCATCTCCAGTGTCCCAGCAGCCAGAGTCCCAGTTGCTCCAGCAGCATCTCCCAAGGAGGCTGGTGGGATGGTAAGGAAAAGCCAAGAGGGGAATGTCTCAGTTTTTAGGGTGGGAAGGGTGGTCCCACACACCATGGTTGGGGTTGGTGGGAGTGATAGGGTTTTATTTCCATCTTTGCTAGAAATTGAATAACCAGCATCATCATGAGAAGTAAGAAAGGTGTCTTGGAAAGGAGAGAAGGAAGGAAAACCATCAGATTCCCTGGATAAATCGGGTCAGGCTCTGGTTGATCATCAGGAGGGTTTTCTAAATTCCCTCAATTTTATTTTCACTTTCCTCAATTTTTCTTCTTTTAGGGTTTTTAATAAATTTTTTGGCCTCTCTGACCCTGCTCACAAACCAGCTCTTGTGTGGGGGATGCTGTGGAACAACCCCAGCCCCACCACCCCCTCACCCTGAGGGCTCTCTACTGCTATCTGGGCTGTATCTGCAATAGCTTCCTGATGGTCCTGGCTCCAGGCTGTGTCACCTCGCTGAGCAGGGTGATGGGCCATTCAGCTCCTAAAAGCAATCTAGGGGGGGATGGGGTGGTGGGAGAAGAGGGTGGAAGAGTGTGGGAGTTGCTGCAGACCTCCCCCTAGGAGAGCATCTTTGTACCCCTGGAGAAGTTTGGACAGTTGTGGGATCTGCTCTTTGGATGGGAGCTGAAGCCATCGTAGAGACAGGGAGAGGGAGAATGAGTGGAGGGTGGAGGAGGGAGCCTGGGTGGGCAGGTGGATGGTTGGTTTGCTGGTGGAGAGGAGGCTGGAGGGAACAGGAGGAAGGAGATGGCAGGAGGTGGCAAGGGAATAAAACATCCCACGCAGTCAAGGTGGGACACGTGTAGTGTTGGTGGGGCAGCACCTTGGGGCAGAGGGATTCAGGTTGGCCAGAGAAGCTGTGGCTGCTCCTCCCTGGAAGTGTTGAAGGCCAGGCTGGATGAGGCTTTGAGCAACCTGGTCTAGTGGAAGGTGTCCCTGCTGCTGGCAGGGGGGTTGGAACTGGATGAGCTTGAAGGTCCCTTCCCACCCAAACCAGTCTGGGATTCTATGATTCTGTGATTTACACCATCTTCTCTGGGGCCTCCTTGCCCAAGTCCCAGCTGGGCTGGCCACAGCCGGGGAGAACCTGTCCCCCAAGCTAGGACCCATCCAAACCACCCTGGGGATGCCCTGCCTTGGGCTAACCCCTGCCTGGAGATGGGATGGGGCTGGGTTTTTTGGCTGTCTCCTCCATGCCAAGCCTGGGGACAGTGTCTCAGGGTGGATGGCTGAGGCTGGAGGGAGATCCCAACCTGTTCCTAGTCAGTCCCTCATGATGAGGCCAGCTGGGGACACTGGTACATGAGGCCACAAGGTAGGTATGGGTGCTGCACCAGGTCTGAGAGGAGACCAGAGCAGAAGAGACCATGCAAACCAAGAAGACCTCAGCAGGCATCATGCTGTAGGAGGAGGGGGATGGGCTGCACTCATGGGAGATGTCTCAAACACACCAGGACATCCTCCCACTTCTCCTCACTGACTGCAAAAGGAGCCCAGGTTGACTTGCTCACATGGAGACATCTCCACTCTAGGAACTCAAGGGGGTTGAGATGAACTTCTGTGTCCATGAATGATGAGTCCTTTTGGAAACCTGGCTCTGGTACAATGGTCTTGGCAGATGAAGAATGAGCTGTGTGGAAAAGCAGGGGAGGCACTTGCTTTCTTCTGCTTTAGCTCTTGGTTTTGGTCTAGGTTCATGGCCAAGGAGGAGTCAAGTTCCAGAACTGGGCCAAGACCTATGGCTCTTCTCCAGAGCTGTACTTCCAACCCACCTCAGTGGAGGAGATCCGGGAGGTAAGGAGACAACTCGTTAGAAATGAAGAGGGGGGAAGGTCAGGAAGGGCTGTGATGCTCCATCATGTTTAGGCAGAGAGGTCACAGAGGGTGACAGCATGAGTCCTTCCCTCACCCCCAAGAGATGACCCATCCTTGCCAGATGCAGATGCCTCAAACATCTAAAAGATGCAGAAAAGTGTCACAACTGGCCCCAGCTGGACTCTGTTCCTTGGGCATCAGCATCTGACATCCTTCTGGGGTCCTCTCCTTGCCCCAGCTGCCATGCTCAGGAGTGGGAGTCCTGCATCAAATTGTCACCCCAGAGATGCTTCTGTCACCCTAAGGTGTCTCAGGTGGGCATCACCACTTTTGGGATCATAGAATGGTTTGGGTTGGAAGGAACCTTTAAAGGTCATCTCATCCAACCCCCAAGGATGGTCCCAAGGGCTGTCTTTGGAGGTGTGTAGGCTCCATGGCTGGTTTTGACCCCAGATGGTGAGTTACCCAAGTGAAGATGGTGTCAATGATGGGTGAGATTTTAGCTTGGGATGTCTCACAGGGCCTCTGGCACCATCCTTGGCTCAAGGCGTTGAGGGAGGTGTTGGATGCTCAGGGCTGCCTGTTGTCTCTGCAGATCCTGGATATGGCCAGACAGCGGGACAAGAGGGTGAAGGTGGTGGGGGGTGGCCACTCTCCTTCAGATATTGCCTGCACTGATGACTTCATGATCCAGATGGGGAAGATGAACAGGGTCCTCAAGGTGAGACCAGCTTCTGGGAGGTGGTGTGGTGGCCTTGAAATGTGGTGGCATCTTTGTTCGTGCCACCACTGTGGGCTGGGACACCAACACAACCATACCCAGGGGGAGAGATGAAAGGATGGAGAGACTTTTCTCTCCTCACAACCAGGACTTTTCCCAAACCAGACCATGAAAGGCTGGTACAAACCTGGAGAATGCAGAGTCCTCAGTTATGTCTAACTTCTCCAGGACTTCCTCACCAGGAGAAGAAGAGGGGTAGGTGCTGATCTCTTCTCTCTGGCCACCAACCAATGCCAGGAGCAGAGGGAATGGCAGGAAGATGTGGCAGGGGAGGGTGAGGTTGGCCATGAGGAAAAGGTTCTTGACCCAGAGAGGGTGGTGGAGCACTGGAACAGGCTCCCCAGGGAGGTGCTGATGGCACCAAGCCTGACAAGATTCCAGCAGCATTTGGCCAAGGCCCTCAGGGACATGGTGTGAATGTTGGGATTGTCCTGTGCAGGGACAGGAGTTGGACTCCAGCATCCTGGTGGGTCCAACTCCCACCATCTGATGATTCCATGATTCCAGGAGGGTCTGTTGGATGGGGAGGAGGTACCTGGCAGGGTCACCTTCATGACTTGCTTGATGTGAGCTCACAAAGGTGCCTGGCCAAGACCTGGGTGGACATTTGTGGCCCATGATTTGTTCCTGCATCAGTTGGAAAATGTCCCCATGGGAGATACCTCCACTTGATGGTACTGGGAAGGAAATAGCTCTTGCTGGTTGCTTGTGGATCGTATCCTGAGCAACTCTGAGAAGATGAGAGCGGCTGGGAGGAGGATTTTCCTGCCCTCTGCTTTCCATCTAGACCTTCAGTGTGGAGAGAGAGAGAGGACTTCTGCTGGGGCTGCATGGCCAGCAGTGAGAACTGCCTCTGTGCACGTGTGTGTGGCACACGTAGGTGTGAAGGTAGAAACTCCTGCCTGTCCTGTAGTGGTGAATTCTGGATGGATAATGGATCATTACTGGTAATTAACAGCAATAATTAATTAAGGAATTGCTCCCTCCCTGACAGCTCCATCTGCCAGAAGCAGGATGAAGGGCTCCTAATGGTCATGAGCTCTCCTTCCACCAGGAGCTGGATGAAGGTGGTCAAGCAAGGCAAGGAGGGCAGAGTGGAGAGGTTTACTGAAGGTAGAGCTTTGCTGAGGGATGTCTTCTCCCTTGTGCTGACCAACACCTGGGAGATGTTATAAGAGAGGTTACACACCCCTGAGACAGGGGAGAGTAGAGATGAGCAGGTTCTGGATCAGGAGGAGGAACCAGTGGCACCATTGCGTTGGATAAGGTGAAGGTCTGAGAGAGGTGGCAGCTCAGGATGGAGCAAGGCCCTCATGGTGCACAGCTCACCCATGTCAACGTTATCAGCTGCACTGGTAGGAGCAGAGGTGTTTCCCATGAGGTGTTTCTCCTCCAAGCTGTGTGACCTCTTCTCCCCTCTCATCCCATCCTTTGCAGGTGGACAAGGAGAAGCAGCAAGTGACGGTGGAAGGTGGGATTTTCCTCTCAGACCTGAACGTCGAGCTGAGCAAGCATGGGTTGGCCTTGGCCAAGTGAGTGGGATATTTGTGTGGGATTGTCATTGGGTGTCCTCCCAGGTGTCCATCCTTGCCCCAGGTCAAGTGCTGAGATATGGAGGGATGTTTGAAGAGCTTTCACTGCAGAATAGGTGTTTACTTTGATATCTGGTCTCCTACCAGAGTCCTGCAGACCACAGGTCAACCCCCTCCACCATGGAGTAGCTGATCCTGTTTCAGAGTAGGAGGGTGGACAATGGGAGCCCATATCCAACCCTATGTTCTCAATGCACCCGTCAGGCTGGTCCTCTCCATGTCATGAAGGAAAACTCTGCTCCCCCTGGTCCTACAAAGATGAGACCACCCCTCCTGGGGATGCCTTGCATGGAGCAGAGGCTGGTGGTGGACAACATGAGTTTTTGATGGCAAAGGGCAATTAGCCTTTGGAATATTTTAGCAGGAAGCATGGGAGAATCTTTGCTCTGCATTGTTCTGGGGTGTCTGGTGTCCCCAGAAGAGGAGCTGGAAGTGATGGGCTTCCTTGCAAAGGAAATAACCATACAGCCTGGATCAATATCTGTGTCCCTCAGTCAACAGAAGAGATGAGTTTGTCAGAGACCTGGGTGAGGGTTCAGAGAAATTAAAACCCCAACCTGACCAGATGGCCAACAGTGAGCATAGGGTGAGCAGGACTCCTTCAAGGCCAGGCTGGATGAGGCTTTGAGCAACCTGGTCTAGTGGAAGGTGTCCCTGCTGATGGCAGGGGGTTGGGACTGGATGATCTTGAAGGTCCCTTCCAACCCAAACCAGCCTGTGAGTCTATGATTCACCACCTTCTCTGGGGCTTGGTGGAGGAATCCACTGATGGTCATAGAAACCACATCTGGTTCAGGAGGTCCCTGCACCCCAGGTGTTGGAAGCTGGGGGAGTTTTGGGGGGGGAAATGGCAGAAACAGCAAACTATTGGCTGTAACCTTCTACCATCCCCCACATGCCCACCTTGGCCATGGTTGGAGGGATAGACCTTGGTCTGTAGACCTTATGTTTGTGGATGCTGCTTCCAGCCCTGCTCCACAGTGATGTTTCTGGGGTACACACCAGTTCCTCACCCCTTGCTCATGAGGCATATGGGAGGAAGGTCTCCACCCCAGTGAGTCCCTCCAGGCTGATGGGGAGAGATGGGGACTTGTGAGATGGGACACAGCTGAGTTGACCAAGGTGACGTGTGCTCACCAACCACTTCTTCCTCCCTGTGGACTATAGTGGCCTCCTGATAGATATGTCCCATGGAGATGTGCATGTGTGGCCAACAAACCCACCCAAAGGGTGGAAAACCCTTCTCGTTGGGGCAGGGGGTATGTCCTTGGGGACTCTGTACCTACACACAGTGTTACTCCTGTGCCCCACACCATGTCCCACATCCTCATGTCCTCACCAGTCCCTTAATCTGCTCTCAGCTTAGGAGCTGTTTCTGAGGTGGCAGCAGCCGGTGTGATTGGGACAGGGACACACAACACGGGCATCAAGCATGGCATCCTCTCCACCCAGGTGAGACATGAGTCAGGAGCAATGTCAATGCATGGACATCCACATCTTGAAGGCTTCATGGGAGATGCCTCATCAACTGGTCTGGGTCTGGCATGCCCAACCCTGGGGTAAGGAAGGAACACACTATACTTACTCAGTGAGAAGGAGAGGTCCTGTTCCCCCAGCATGGAGCTGCTATAGAGGACCCTCAAGTTCTCCATGCAAAGTGGGACCTCCTCATCTACCAGCCAAAACATCTTCCAACCCAAAACTCCTCTGTCCATGTGCTTTCTGGTCTTCAAACCAAAGGGAAAGCAACTTTTCTTGTACTGGTGCCCCCCAAAACCAAATCTCTGCAAGGTCCAGGTCTATTTTTCAGTAGATAGTTATGAAGATCCTCCACTCCCAGCTCCCGTCCTGTACAATGATCCCACCCATGGTTCTGGAGAAGAGATTTGGGGGAATTTTACTTCTTCATTTGATAGATTTTCCAAACATCTCCCAGAGAGATAAGAATCCTTTTATGTCACTATATGAAAGGTGGCAGGAGAAGGGTTGGTGGAGCCAAGCTCAGCAGAAAGGACCCTGTGATGCTGGTTGTTGTGGTATGGGGGTCTCCTAACTGTAAGGTTTGGGTTGGATGAAGGGTCTTGGCAGGGAGACACTCACTGGTGCTTTGCTCCTCTCTGCACAGGTTGTAGCTCTCACACTGCTGACGGCCTCGGGGGAGATCCTGGAGTGCTCTGAGTCCATCAACGTGGACATCTTCCAAGCTGCCCGCCTGCACCTTGGCTGCCTGGGTGTTGTGCTCACGGTCACCTTCCAGTGCGTGCCCCAGTTCTACCTGCATGAGGTGGCCTTCCCCTCCACCCTCACTGAGGTATGATGTGGGCAACACTTTCAAAGCTTCCTTGGGGACAAGCAAACTTCTTGGCCAGGTGATGTGGTTGGAGGGAGACTGGGAAGCGGTCACTGTCTGGTAGAAAGTCCCACACGTATGTGTAGGTTGCATCTCCTTGTGCATCTACAGGACTGAATCACATGGAAAGGATTGTCCCCATGTACTGGGCACTGGTGAGGCCAGTGTCCCACCTCCACTGAGCTGAGACATGGCTGTGTCATAGAATCAT